AAGATTTCATGCCCTACCAAATTCAGATAGTGCTCTCTTGTTACTGCTTTTAGAGCACAAGGCATGGTAAGGGCTGTAGCCACAACTAAGGTTACCACTTTTGAAATGCAAAAAAAAATGGTTCTTCCCCCCCGCCCCCGAGAAAGGCCTGTCACAACCCTAGCCACTAGATAACACTGCAACACCTGGCCACTTATCTATATGTGTTATCTCTCTGAATACTATAAGATTGATAACATCATTTTCTTACTTAAACTGTGGAAGTGGGAACTCTGCAGCCTATTTGGCTTTTAACATTGGATACACCAGCGTAAGCTGGGAATCTGCAAAAAAAACCCAAAACAACAATAACAAACACAACAACAACAACAAAACCCTGCAGAAAAGTTTTAAAATTTGCTGAATACTTAATTGAACATATGCTGAGTGGTGACAAGGCTTTAATTGAATACAAATTAAGAATAGTTTAAATTAGGAAACACAGTCATGGTGGCTATAGGACTATGTAATGTAGTAGGAAATCTCATAGAAATGCATAGGAGCCCTTAGAAAGTATTAGGGATTACATCACTTCCTGAGGGGAATGGCTCTGCAAAACCCCATTGGCAAAGATTGCAGCTTATATAAATGAATGGGATTTCTAAACAGGAAGTAGGTAAGGGTCATCGAAAGGTCATCTGAAAAATTCTACAGGAATGCATTGAGCCCCTAGAAGTGATTGGAAAAAAAAACAGCAAGAAAATGGTCTGGTAACACTTTATAGACTAACAAAACATGTAGATGGTATCATACACATGATCTATGTGATTAGATGATGAAATCATGGCTCAGCTGCAAGCTAATTGGCTGTAATAAATTATGTAATGAGCTCAGATCGTATACAAGGATAGCAGTCGACAGGCTGGAGCTCTGTAGTGACAGGGACCAGCAAGAGAGCGGAATGTGGCCAGACACCTATCGGATGATACTTGTGAAACAGAAACCACCTGAGAAACTGCATTGGAACTCTGCAAAGTGAGAGCTGCTTGAAACTCAGCTACTGTAGCAGCAGCAATAGCCCATCCATGGCTCCAGCATTGCCCTGACAAAGGCTGCTCCTGGCATCCGGCCAGCAGGAGGCCTCTACCCCATACCACTCCCTGGAGAAGCCACTTTATAGTTGCTACAGTGTGATGCGGCAGTCACCTGAAGACAGTGTTAATGGACAACCATCAGTGCCAGCGCTCTACCCGGCTCGCTGTCCCTCACAAGGCTGCATCTGGGATCAGTGGCAGAATTGAAGACAAAATGGAGACATCCTCATGGCATTTTTATCTCCATCCTTGGTCTCCCCAGTTAGAGTGGGTCACATGGTCGAGTCACCTGTTTGTGTTTCGCATGCTGGCAGCCATTATGCCCTGGCTGGTTTGCATGTTCCCAGACACATTCCTCAGGTGTATTGGGCACCTTGAGAGCCATTGTCCTTAGGGCTGTGCTAATTAGCATAGTCATTCATTGGACAATCCTCCTTTACAACAGGTAGTCCAGGCCAGTATCAGCACAGATTCCATATTCATAACTCCACATACAGACATCATACAAGTACATGATTAGCATACATATAATCAGTAGAACATAAGCTTTCATTTGACACCTCACATAGCCCCCTTTCTATAGATTTTGGGGCAAACATCACCTCCCATGGGCGCAGCAGTGATCTGGCTGCTCCCCCTTAAAATCCAGTAACGTGACACTCCCCCTGCTGGAATCTATCATAGGGATAGATATGGAATGTGTGTGGGTTCTTTTACTGGTTTTAATACTCTTTTTTTGTAATGTTTTTACCTTAATAATAAAGTTGACTTGCATAGAAAGAACTGAGTGATATTTTCTAACCGTAGCAAGTTTATCTATTAATCATTTCTAAGGGTATGTGTACGCTGCAGAGCTTTTTCAGAAGAACAGCTGTTTTTCTGAAAAAACTTCACTTATGTCCACACTGCAATCGCATTCTTTCGAAAAAAAATTTGAAAGAACAGAGGGGTTTTTCCGACATTGGTAAACCTCTTTCTACAAGGAAGAATGCCTTTTTCTGAAAGGCTGTGTCTAGACTGGCCTGATTTTCCGCAAATGCTTTTAACGGAAAACTTTTCCGTTAAAAGCATTTTCAGAACAGAGCGTCTAGATTGGCACGGAAAAGCACTTTTTGCGGAAAAACTTCTGTGCCAATCTAGATGCGCTTTTCTGCAAAAAAGCCCTGATCGCCATTTTTGCGATCGGGGCTTTTTTTGCGCAAAACAAATCTGAGCTGTTTACACTGGCCCCTTTGCACAAAAGTTTTGTGCAAAAGGACTTTTGCCCGAACGGGAGCAACATAGTATTTCCGCAAGAACACTAACAATCTTACATGAGATTGTCAGTGCTTTTGCAGAAATTCAAGCAGACAATGTAGACAGCTGGCAAGTTTTTCCGGAAAAGCAGCTGATTTTCCGGAAAAAAGTGGCCAGTCTAGACACAGCCAAAGAGCTGTTTCAGAAAAAAGGCATGTGTGGACAGGGAAGAAGAAAGAGGAAAAAGCACAGGTGCCCTGCTGGCCTCTCCGTCCATAGTAATCACAGCTTAAATTTGAGATGTGAGATAGTGTCCATTCAGCTTTTGCTGCGTAGACGCTCTCTTTCAGAAGAAGAAGTTTTTTCGAAAGATCTCTTCTGGAAAAGCTTCTTCTGAAAGAAGCCTGAAATCTGGACATAGCCTCAGAGAAAGCAAGCAGGTGTCCTGTTTATGCTGGAAAACACAATGAAGGCAGGGAATTGTGCAACCTGCAAATACCTTGGTCAGAAGAGAAAGGAATGTAGGTCTCTACCCAAGGAGAGGCAGTAGCTGAGGAACTGAAAGCCTGTGGACTGAGCGCCCTTGCTGGGCCGCTGAGGGGAAATATAGGGACCCTTGTCCTGAACTATGATGCTTACATACATGTCAAGATTTGACATTTATTTTCATTCTGCATTGAAAGGAAACAAAAGCTCTTTGAAAAGTTTTTTTCAAGAATACCTTGAAATAATAACTAGAATAACTAACCAATGACACCGTGATGAGGGAAATCCAGGTTCAAGTCCGTATTCCAAATCAAGCAAAATATTCCTTTATCAGTATGAAATAAACTTCCGTTTAGAAGATTTCTCAGCTCAGAATGGAGGAAAACAAACCTTTCCTAACAGGTTTTTTTTTTGGAGAAATCTTCATTTTTTGGATTAAAAAAAATGTTTAGTCAAAAAAATTCCTAGCCACTGTTAGCAATATACTACTATGCAGACAACATTTAAGCCTACAGCACTAACCGGATACTGCTTCTGCCTATTTCTGAACTAGACAAGAAACTTATTAAAACCTGTCAACCCTACCTTGAAAATTGAAATGATATGGAGAAGCTAGCAAATGTGGTTATTCAAATCATTTTGGAGCAGATGGATGCTATACAGCTAGAACTAATTGCTTCTGAATAAATTCAGGATGGGAGAAATATAGAAAGATCTGTGAGGCAGTTGAGTTACATGATGGGGAAGAAAGAGGTAAGTACACACTGGAAATAGATTAGACTAACCTCTTGAGGGCTGGAATAATGTCTTCCTATGCATTTATACAATTGGGCCCCAAACTTAACCAATGCCTTTGGGCACTACTACAATATAAATAATAAATTACAGGTGGAGTTTTCTTGGGAGCTGGGCAGCATGAACTCCTCCAGGAAATAAGGACCATTATAAATATCACTCCCTTCCACTCCAAAATCACATTTCTTTGACCTGGTCTTCTCTAACAAACATATTCTGGAACATTTTGTATATGTATAAAATTAAATATTTGAATCCAACTTACTCCACTGCACCTAATTTTTCCACTAAGGAGACGATAAGAGAATAAATGTGCCAGATGTTACTTCTCTTACTTTACTGCACTGCTAGTAGGCAATAAGATGCTCTGGTGATAACAGCACCATAAGAATCTATATACTGTAAAACAGAACAAAGTAAAAGATATTTGAAAATCCCTCCAGAAGGAAGGTAACAATAAATTACCAGTAACATTTGCAGTAGAAATAATAACAGAATAGATGTCAATTTTATAAGGATGAATGTGGAAAGAAGTTAAAGTCATGGGGTATGTCTAAACTACATCCCTCTTTCAAATGAGAGATGTAAATTAGACATATCGAAATTGCAAATGAAGCCGGGATTTGAACTTCCCGTGCTTCATTTGCGTAATCGCATCACAACGTTTTTTCAAAAAACTCTATTTTGAAAGTGAAACCACAGTCTAGATGCAGTTCTTTCAAAAGGAAAAGCCTTTTTTCAAAAGATGCTATACTCTTCAAAAAATGAGGTTTACAGGATCTTTCAAAAAAGGCTTTTCTTTTCGAAAGAACCAAGTCTAGACCGTGGTTTCACTTTCGAAATAGCGTTTTTCGAAAAAAACCATGGTGATGCAATTATGCAAATGAAGTAGGGGAAATTCAAATCCCTGCTTCATTCACAATTTCGATATGTCTAATTTACATCCTTCTTTCGAAAGAGGGATGTAGTCTAGACATAGCCATTGTGTATTGCCAAAGATCAGAGTGGGAGGCAGGCAAAGGTCTTGAATACTATCTCATGCAGGCTTGAATTCCTTGGCTCATGGACGTTTTTATTTGTTGGGGGGGGGGGGGGTAGTTCGTATGGTACAATAGGGGAAACTTTATTCTTTATCTGACACGTTAATCTGACTCTTTCTCTTTTATTGCTGTAATAGTGATCTTGTTGTGCATAATGACATGATTATTTTGAAATATTATAAGTAAGTGGTGGAACTGATGAAAGCGACAGATTGGCCAGTTCATGTAAAAACATTAAATTGCCCAATTCACCTCTACCCAAAATACCTCAAAGTGTAATATTAACAGGACTAAGACATGAACTGCACAGTACACAATTAATATGGAACTCATGCAATTTTTTTTTTCAAAATCTACACAGGAAAAAGATTTCAATCATCACAGTTAAAGATCAAGAAACAGATTCTTCAGGAACCTCAGCAGTTAGTTATAATCATGTTCATGCTTTCTTCCTTCTACTTCCTGCCCAATTTAGGCTGCTGGACACAAGACTCAAGAGGAACTTTAAAGTCCCAATGGCAGAGAGCAATCAAAGAAAAAATAACTGAGCTGTTATTACTAAACTGCAGTTCTGTTGCGAAGATGAATTGTGCCACTTTGCAGATGAGACAACACAAAAGGTAAGGTGGAGTGAAATAAGCACTGAGATGACTCATATTCACTGGGAAGAGAACACTGTGAAGAGACTTGAAATGAAGCTGCAATTTCAGTTTCCCTTCCTCTTTCTTGCCTTTCATTCCTTTCCACAGCTCTTTGTTTTCTATCTGCAGAAAAAAAAAGTGGGGAGGGGCGGGGGGGAGAGAGAATCACAAGCCAGAGAAATAATCACAAGCTCCTACTGTGGCATATTGATAATTGTTGATGAATTATGTTTATTTTAATATAAATGGTCTCTACAAGGAGGTGACAAATTTATCTTTCTGTAATTCTGCTAATGCTTTGGATTTATTGTCAGTGTTGTATGAGAAATATTTTACTCTGATTCTGAACAGCTGAGTGTTGCAAAATAGATGATGTGAAGGAGATGATTACCTTGGCAATTATTTATTTTGGTTTTTTTCCCTCTAATTCTGCAAAGGCTAAGCACATATTTCTGCGCTCAGAGCTGCACAGCACACCTCAGTTCTGATCAGATATCCCTACCTCCCACTGACATTAGGGATAACATTTGTATTTCTGTATGCAAAGATAAGGGTAAACAAAACTCATCTTTAAAGCGTCAACTAAGTAATATGAGGAACAGAAGGACCTTTCCACCATGCACAGCATTACCAAGTGCATCATGGGCTCTTCTTATTCCTTGAGAGCATCAGGGACTATCTACACTCAGTTCTCCTGTAATCATCTATAAGCAGAAAACAAGACATTGTCTCCATATATATGTGTATGGAACAATATAAAAGCAAATTCTGGTGCATAGGACAATGAGCCCCCAACCTGGATGTCTCGAGTTCTTTAGTCTCATGCATCTGTAATGTTTTTCTTATCCTCTACCCTTAACAAGGACATTGCTTATAGATGCTATCTTGCTCACAGTACACAATAACACCGAGCTCAAACAATGACTCCTTTGTTAGAATTATAAACACAATGTGAGACTTGTGGTGTTAATAGTCATTGCAAAAAGAGCAGAGGGTGAACAATGAAAATGCTTGATATGGTGAGGTACCCTGTCATCAGTATCTTGTAAAAACTATCATTATCCATAATTGTACAACCCCCTTCAGGAAAGCCCGTGACAGTCTCATAACAAATGATTGTTGAAGTCATGGATCACCATTACAAGGTCAGATAGAAACAGATGTCTCCAGATGTTTTCCCAAATGGCAGAAATAAGACAAAGCATTCTTTATGTTGCTCTTACCCTAAAGAGAAAGCTGTTTCTAAACTAAAGCTATTTCTAAATCTGTTTAGTGCCACGACAAAAAATGTGCATAACAAATGACTCCAGAAGAAGGAGCAATACCGCTGGGTATAAGAGCCTCCATTAGCCACATATGCACAAAACATGGCCCTGATCATAGAATCATAGAATCATAGGACTGGAAGGGACCTCGAGAGGTCATCGAGTCCAGCCCCCCGCCCTCAAGGCAGGATCAAGCTCCGTCTACACCATCCCTGACAGATGTCTATCTAACCTGTTCTTAAATATCTCCAGAGAGGGAGATTCCACCACCTCCCTTGGCAATTTATTCCAATATTTGACCACCCTGACAGTTAGGAATTTTTTCCTAATGTCCAATCTAAACCTCCCCTGCTGCACTTTAAGCCCATTACTCCTTGTCCTGTCCTCAGAAACCAAGAGGAACAAATTTTCTCCTTCCTCCTTGTGACACCCTTTTAGATATTTGAAAGCCGCTATCATGTCCTCCCTTAATCTTCTTTTTTCCAAACTAAACAAGCCCAGTTCATGAAGCCTGGCTTCATAGGTCATGTTCTCTAAACCTTTAATCATTCTTGTCGCTCTTCTCTGTACCCTTTCCAATTTCTCCACATCTTTCTTGAAATGTGGTGCCCAGAACTGGACACAGTACTCCAGCTGAGGCCTAACTAGTGCAGAGTAGAGCGGCAGAATGACTTCACGAGTTTTGCTTACAACACACTAAGCAGTTTGGAACTGATGTACCAAACTGAAGACAATGTGGTATCATTTCTGCACATTTGTTAACAAGATAACTTCATTAGGATAGTCCTGACCTAGCTGCTGCTCAGGAGAAGTAAAGCAAAATGTCATCACTGTGGCAAGGACGGCTTAGACTATTACAAATATGAATGTGAGGAGAGGACTACCTGGCTCAGTGCATTAATGGTTATACAGGACACTCAGATGGTTTGACTGTTTTTAATAAATATGAACAAACTGCAGAGAAAAGTTATGTTCAGAGACTGCTTGGCCGAGTTCAAATGTGAATTAAATTAAATGTGGTAACTAAAAGGGAAAATGTAACATGACCTCAAAAGCCTCAGAAAATAAGGTTCTTCTGGCTCTCTCCATATCAGGGCAGCCCAAACTGCAAATCCTCTCACATAAAAATGTTGTGCTAGAGCAGAACTCATGCCTCTTGGGCCTGTACATTTAAAAAGGTGTTGGACAGAATACAGACAATCTGTGCTTTTTTTTGTTAAAAATAAAATAAAAATAAAGGTGCGGGTACTCCAGGGGAAAAGTTATTGAGCTGTGACTGCAGATGCTGGTACTGCATCGGGAGGTGCCGGTACTGAGTAGCGTCACAAAAAAAGCACTGCAGACAATAAAGATAGTTACATGAAGAACTCCACGTCTGGCCTGCCATCTCTTGCACACCCAATTCCCATTGGGAGTTAACGTATAATTGTGCAGCTATTTTGGGATATAATCTGGGTCGATTATCCCTATATGGAAAGTCTGTAGAGGAGGGAACCATCTGTTGTGAGAACACACATGTTTTACTGCCTAAAAATCATTAAACACACCCTGAGGAATGGATTATGTTCAGGGTCAGGACTTTATTACTAGCTTCATGAAGAGCCAGGTATCTAAAATCCTGCTCACTGATGAGGAGGCTGGAAAGACTCTGTGTCTGTTCAGTTACAGGCCTTTAGGTAAATATCCAAAAGTCTGAATGGCTCTCCACACTTCTGTAGCCTAAAATAATCAAGTCAATCCCTGATTACATTGAGCGTTTTTGTGAGATTTTTAGTACTTCTTGGGCTTAGTCAATTCTCAAGTATCACACCAATTGCCATCTGCAGTAATTCAGTAGACAACCTGCTCTTATGAAAAGGTCCTGTGACCATTAAAGATCCCAAGTGGTCAGACCTTGGATTCAGCATCATGCTGAGGCATTGGTTCTGATGGAAGAGTGCCAAAACTAAGTCACAAATACCAGTCTTTGCACACACAGATGCAGGAGGACATAGATTTTACGAGGTGTGTCCAATGACAGCACCATACTCTGTGCTAGATTGAGAATTTACTCTCATGCTGGAATGCACAGCTGTGCTGCCCCAGGAGAAGCTCTGGAATGGAACTGTGACTCACTCAACCTTCTGCAATTGAACTGCACATAAACAATGGGAATATGCTGCATCAGTCTGTTACCAGACACGGCAGGATTTGAGTCATGATTCCACTTGCTCCCTCTCTCTCTCCCACCTGCTCCACTTGCTTATGGGTGAGAGATTTGAATATACACATCATGCCTAGACTTGTGATTTGGGGGAAGGTCCCATGTGTACATAGGGATGGGTCTTATTCCCCTTTATTTCGCTTCATGGCCATGCGGCACAGACAAACATCTTTTCCTGTATAAAATTAACAAACAACGAATAGTCTTGCAGCACCTTAAGACTAACAAAACATGTAGATGGTATAAGTAGCTTTTGTGGGCACAAACCACTTCTTCATCTGAAGAAGTGACTATTCATTTTTTTTTAAAGTTTTTCTAGTTACAGACTAAATCGGCTAATCCTCTGAATCTTTTCCTGAATGTGTGTTTAGTAAATAGAGTGAAAATAAAAATACTTGGATAAATCAGGAGATTTGCAGCACGGCAAGGAAGGGAAGTTGGTTTATTGGCTATCTAAAATGTCAGATAGAGCAGATGATGAATGGATACAGTATGCTGGCAAAAAAATTAAAGGAGCACAAGATAATTGATATAGAAAGCTAAATCAGCATGTGGAATAGGAGTAGCAAGGGAAGTAAAGATAAAGAATGAGTAATTCTTTAAAGCCATGAAAAAACAGGCAGACATGTAAAAACACTGTACTGCTGCTGATTGCTGTGTTGGGGTGGGAAGCTGCTGGTAACTGATGAGGTCTCTATTGCTCAGCCAACATAATGCAATCACAACGTTTTGAAATATTTCATTTCTTATCTCTGGAGGAATGGAGCCAAGCCTCCAGGTTGTTGCCTTTTTCCTTTCATGAACACTGAGCTGAAGAATGCATTCAAGGAACCTGGATCTAATTCCCCAAGGGTAGGAAATGTTTAAAAGAGACTTTGCAGTTGCATCACATCAGAAGATTAAACACTAGAAATATTAAAGGCTGGCATGAGGACAAGATGATTTACACCCAAGAGTTCAAAAGGAATCAGTGAAATTAATAGAAGGCTTTTGGCAATGTTGTTTGATAGTTCGGTAAAGAAAACAGGGATGGCAGAATTAGCGGACACATAGGTAATATGGATCTCAGCAAGCAACTTGTGGAACAGTAAATGTGATTTCTTATGCTAAGATACTGGAAATATTGATAAGGTGAAAGATCATTAAATTAAAATTAATTTTGAAAGCAATAGTTAACTTGGACTTAGAGAAAGAAGCTCACATGAAAAGCATGCAAGGCACTGGTTTCAGTATGACACTGAACTATGTTTACTAGCCTGTACAAAGTAGGGCTAGAGCATGGAGTATGGTTTCTCGTGGGAAAAGTCTTAATTGCCCTGCTACATGTAAAAACACTGTACAAAAATACTGATGGGTCAAAGTTGGATGGAGTTAATCAAGAGAGAAGAAGACATATATAGAGGGTTGGAGGCAGCCCTCAGAGGTGACTACTCTGGCCTGAAGCATCAGCTGTCCCCAAAAGTTCACAGGCATGGGGACTACAGTCAATCAGTGGAATAAGAGGCTTCCCT